GAGCCGAGCCGAGCCTGCAGCCGAACCGGGCTGGCAGCCGAACGGGGTCGGTAGCCGAGCCGAACCGGCAGCCGAGCCGGGCCGGCAGAGGTTGCGGCAGTGTGTTGGCAGAGAGGCGAAGGACAGTATCAAACTGGGCCCGGGGCCTGGAGCCGGCCCGACCCGGAGACCGTGTGGGAAACAGGAGCCAGCCCGGCCCGGAGACCGTGTGGGAGCCAGGGGCCGGGCCGACGGGACCATCTGTAGTGAGCGGCGACCCGCCGCCACCTGTGCCCCTCAGCAGTAGTGAGCGAGGTGTCGGTCCCGACGGCTGGGGAGGCGCCGGCCGCACGGCCAGCTGCCGGCCGCCGACCGTCGAGCGGTGCACCTGCTACCGTCTGTGGTCCGCGCGTGTTCAGCTGGCGTTGCGCTACCCCTCCAGTTGAGGGGTAGCGTCCTGTGGGTTGTCGCTGCTCTGACCCCTAATGATCGACCCGACGGCTTGGATGCAGCCAAGCTGCCGTTGATTCTTTCAGTCGTGTCGACATCTTCGGTTAGATCTTTTAAGTGATTGGGGTTTGCATGGTCGTGTCGTAGAATGTATTTTTGTACGCCCGTAGTTATTATTTCGTGTTACGGTGTTATTTATTGCACGAGGCATCTGTCCTCGTGCATGGGTTACAGGGCTGCTGTATGGCAGTGCCAGTGGCTGGCTGTCACGTGTGCTGGAAAACTTATCAGATGACATGTTTGCTTCTGTATTTAGGCCTCCGAGGCTGTGAGACACTATCTGTATTGTAGTCTGTTGTTTTGGATGCATGTTCCTGCGTTTATCGACAGCAAGCTTACTGCGCTATTTTACGAGCATGATTTACCCAGCATCGACCTTGTCTTAATGACCTGATGAGGGCTGCGCGCTGTATCATCCCGGCAGCATCCGCGCAGTGCCGTCTGCCTGTTCCTCGCCGATCTTCGCCACCATGTATTGTCGCCGGCCGATTGGCTGTTGTTGTTGCACCATCATATCACCGGGAATGTTTGAGGTAGGCGATATTTGGTTGCCCTCTCCCAAGCGTGCGTCAGTGGCGGGCCCGGTATTTCTTTAGACGTGTAGTGTCGTGCTGGCCATGGCTGGTCAGGCACCCCGCGCCACCGTCTCGTCGCGTTCGTTCGTGTAGTCCCGGTGTCTTGTGCGTCGCGGCCCGGTTGGACGCGCGCTAGTGTGTGCATGCACTGCCCTTTCCGACCCTCTCCCCTTCCCGAATCCGCCGTGCGTGCGGCGTCCGCTGCGGCCACGGTCCCCTGAGTTCGGAATGTTGCTGCCGCCCGCTGTCTCCGGGTGTCTCCGCCGTCGTGGTGTCTGGCACTACTCGTGTCGAGAGGCGCGCTGTGTCGCTGCCGGACGCCGACTTGGCCGTGTGCGGCTCATCACAGGAGACGCCGCCTGCCGTGGGGAGCGTGTGTCACTGCCTCGCCTGCCTGCTGCTTGCCAGCCCGCCGGCCAGGAAAGACTGGGCATGGCGCCCTGGCGGATATGGTGGAAATCACTAGTGCCGCAAGCGCCCGCCACCGGCGCCGTCGAGCGGAACTGATAAAGACATCTCCGTGCTGTAAAATGGTCCATCGTTATGGAAAATATATTTTTTGAAGTGGTTGCCTAATAAATTTGCTCACATATGACTTGGAGTTGAAAGACAGCAATTACGTGTCAAAAATTCGACTGAGCGACGTGATTGACGGCCGTGCTGTTTTCCGTTCCGTGCTGGCCCGGCGATTGCATCGAGATGTCGCGGGGCCTTGAACGGTAAGAGTTCGAACGCTTCTAGGAATGGCTCAGGGCTTACAGGAGCTCGGAGTCGACTGCTTATATACGCTGAGCACTTCATAGTTGCAAAGGGTAGCAGAAATGTGAGTGTGAGCAGAAGTCCTGGGGGAGGTGAGGAGAACGGATTTCGGTTCAATTTTTGACATGCAACGTCACGTACCATTTTGCGTTTGATGTGGGGATGAGGTGTCTCGACGGACCAGGTCCCCACGCCGCCAAGCTCCCACGCCGTTACGCCCAGATTAAATCTGCCTGCCACACCATAACTGTATGACGGCAATGTAAGAGCCCCTCGAATGGGTCACG